TGAGGGGGGAAAAAACCCTCTTTCCAAAAAGTCTTGCTTGATGTTACATCCAATGCTCCCGAAGCACTCAATCTAGGAGTAATGCTATGAAAGCCATCATTATAGCAATTGTCACTGAGCTCAGATAGAAAAAGTCATTTAGTGAAATGACAAAAGACATGATTCAAGGTAATCATGCAGCATAAAGCAGGGTATACTACATGGATAGCACACACACGCACACACACGTATTTACAACTGCACTATTATCTGGAATACTGTTTGTTTCAAAGACACGGTAAAGCTAGCACAATCTCCCTGGAGAGCCGCGCAGCTTAGTCAAAGTCACGGTTTGTAAGAACCAGTGGAGCAACCAGAGTCCACACATAAAGCACAATGCCAATCCAGCTGGAAGATATCTTCACCCAGACAGACGGCCATTTGCTGGTCATTGTCTCATAAGAAGAATCCGGACTGTGAAAGAAGGAAAAGAAAAAAGTTAATTTGCAATTCTTGTTTCAATGTGACATACTTGCGTAGTAAGCCACTCTTCAACACTGTTTTCTCAGTACATCATTTCTATAATAAATTAATTCATTTAATATAATCCTTTCACTTCAGCTCCACACCTCAAAGGACATCTCTACCCTTCTCCTCCCAGGCCATTCACACCAATCTGTACAAGAACACCATTTTTAAGTTGGTGGAAAGCAACAGCAGCCCAAAACATATTTAGCAAAAAAAGCTGTTAAGAAGCAGAAATAATTACAAGGAATCTCTAAGCAAGTCTGTGGAAAGGCAGGAAACAGCATTTATAGATATACATAATGCATTCTACCTTGCCAAAAGACAATGCCTAGAAGAATTCATAATCTTGAGGTCATACTGAACCAAGCAGGGCCGCAAATATAATCCACAGCAGGACTATCTATCTAGAGTTAACTTTTGAAGGAAACACCTTTCTAGTGTTGCTATTTTGATACAAATTGTCCTTTAATAAATTGTTAGAGACCATAATTTATTAAATTCTGAAGAATATCTGCTCAAGCTGTTACCATAATAACCACTCACACATTGGAGGACTATTGTGAGGATTTTTTTCAGGGAGCAGACAACCTAATTTCCTTCCACCAGACCCTATCACAGAACAGCTAAGGTTGGAAGGGACCTCTGGAGGTCATCTGGTCCAGGCCCTCTGCTAAAACAGGGAGAGCTACAGCCAGTTGCCCAGGAATGAGGATCTCCAAGGACAGAGACTCCACAATCTCCCTGGGCAACCTGTGCCAGTGCTTGGTCAGCCTTTCAATGATAATGTGTTTCCTGATGTTCAGAAGGAATCTCCCATGTTTCAGTGTGTGCCCATTGCCTCTGGTCCTGTCACTGGGCGCCACTAGAAAGACCCCAGCTCCATCCCCTTTGCACCCTCCCTTCAGGTACTTATATACATTGACAAGATCCCCCGAGCCTTCTCGTCCCCAGGCTGAGCAGCTCCAGCTCTCTCAGCCTCTCCTCATACCACAAATGCTCCAGTCCCTTCATCATCCTTGTGGCCCTTTGCCAGACTCTCTCCAGTATGTCCATGTTTCTCTTGTACTAGGGAGCCCAGGATGGACCCAACAGTCCAGGTGTGGTCTCACCAGTGCTGAGCAGAGGGGAAGGATCAACTCTCCCTCAACCTACCAATATGACATGTCCCATCTCTCCTTTTTCCAGCCCTCTGTACCAGACATGGGCCTGGTGTTTACTTATTTTTAGTTGTTATAGAATTTAAGACTTTGTCCTGTTCACTTCGGCAGGACATACTTTAACAGTCCAGTGAATCCTGAGAATTATCCCAGAAAATACGACAGGCACTTGTGAACAAGGCTGGCTACTCTGATTTTCAAATACAATTAAGATAGATAAACAGCATACTTCCTATGAGAAGTCCCATTCAAGACTTACATCCCTCACAGCACACAACTTTTGTCGTCTTGTCCAGCAAAAGATAGCATCTTGTATGCTTTTTATTAGCACAATATATTATCAAACGTAAATACCTGTACCAGTTGGTGAGCGTCATCATGATATAAAGTGATGCCAGGAAAAGCATGAAATGAAAGAAGGAGTAACTGTAAGTGACTCCATCCCTCTCGTTATCTATGGCTCGGTGAACATCATCTCCATCATCAAGGGAGCCATCACTCCTGGGCATTCCATCCTCTATCAGTGTTGATTCATCGCTGGTCAGCATCAGCTTGTTAACTTGGCTGTTGTTGGATGTTCGGATGCTGTGTTTGACAGGAAAGGACACAGTACAGTTACCCATATAAATACAATTTAGTATCTGACAATGAGAAGTAATACAAGTTAACAGGATTTTTTTTTTTTTAAAAGAATCTTACCTTGAATAGAGAACACACAGCAAAAACAAAACCAGTCCTACAATGCCTTGTGCATCCCACCACTGAACTACCTGACCCTGGGTTGGAGTGGTGGTGCTGTTGTAACCAATGATGCTCAGCAAACTCGGGTTACAGCGCCTGTCTGTGGGGGAAACTACATTAGAACTTACACAAAACAAGAATAGAACAAATATTTAATAGTACATTTCCACACTGAATTTCAGCACGGTAATAGAAAGGAACTTTGTGATTGTGACAGTCTTGAAGTAAAAAAAAAAAAGCTCTGAATCTTATTTTAGCCTATTGAGTCTCTCTAAAGCAGGTAAATGACAGTATGTGGCATAAAAATTTGTCTCTTAGAGCAGATAAAAGGCTTTCAAACTTATGTAAGATATGCATCAACTGCTTTACTGTTCCAGCTCATATCAGATGCAACAAAATACAAATGCTCTGCATAAGAAACTTCAGAAATTCTACCGCTAGAAAACAAGTTTGACAAACATATATACTCTATAGATGGGGTACCACAGTCATCTCAGAGTTTCATATTATCAACAGTTCCCAACCCAACATCTACAGATAACACAGATGAAAGCAGCAATCTCATTTCCCCATAATTATTGCAGTAATTAGATATGACTCATATGTATGCTGTTACATAGAAGCACAGAAGACTGTCCATAATTAAGATAAAAGGGCCAGAGACTCAATTAAAAACACCAAAATCAGTATCTGGTAGTTTGATTTAATCACCAGAATTTCTGAATTTATTTGTATTTTTTTAAAGAGATGCTCATCTGTTTTCAGAGACAAGAATCATTGAAAACAATACATTTTTTAAAATCCTCAGTTCAGAAAAATATAATCAGTAGCATCTTGAAACTTCCTAGGGAGATGATCCTTTCCAACAGCTTGAAAGGGTTGTGGTAATCTGCAAAATCTAAGTTTTAGAATACTGTAGTCCTGCCAATAATAGGTAGAAATTCTTCCATACGATAAACATAAGAGCAAGTGAAAAACACGTTATCTTTGGAATAACTATTTCTTCAGTATTATTACAGAAAGTTGGAGTGGGGGGAGAACACAAACCAATGAGTCCTGCCTTGAACTTGCATGCATTATAGTACTTCATTCTAACACTGCCTCACAAAAAGGTGAAGATACAATTTACTGCTGGTTACCCCAAAAGCCATATAATGCTACTACACTTACCTGGTTCATTGGTCATAGCTGACCAAGTCAAATACATTGTATAAATAGTGATGACAGAAGACTGCAGCAAACCAGATCTTGGCTGAGATTCCTGTACAAAGTAGTCACAAAACAGCACAGTTAGGCAATTAAATGGTCTCGGGCACAATTATATTACAGGTTTCTGGGGCTGGTAACACAAAGGTAACAGAATTAAAACTGTACCTGAATCTTCGGCAGAATTGACATTACAGAAGCACCGATACACAGCAGCATATTAACACTGATGAATGTCTTGTTTTCAGAACAACCTTCTGGATGAGTGTAATAAACATAAAACAAGACAATGGCTACTAGAGACAGCAGGTAATTGACAGCTGTAGCTGACAGCAGAGCTGTGAAAGAGACAAAAACAGAGTTAAACTGCTTAATAATGGAGCATGCCAAAAATTAAATGATGTTGCACGATTATCATGTTTTGGATATGGTATACAATGACAATTATAGAGCAGCTCTGGGCACTGAAATGTAAAGGAACTAAGTTCTTCTCAATACTCTGAGGTGATAGAAAGAAAGAACACAGTAAGTGGGAAGCCTGAAGCCATACTAGATTCTCCAGTGCTCTAACAGCAACCAAGAAGAACAAGTATGAAGGAATAAACAGTTATACCACATACATTGTGGCTAAAAGCTTAAAAAAGAAACTGAAGAACTACTTCTCCAATAGAAGGAAAAAATAAACTCTTATCTTTTCAAATTCCATCTTATTAAAAACATTAAAGAGTGAAGAGGCCATCGCACAAAGACAGGCTGTAGTCTTTGAAGTACCTAAATTTTCACATCTGAAACACTTCATTAAAATTAACATAGTTTCTCCAGTGAGATGACTTGTACTCTACTTTGCTATCTTGGCCTTTCACTCAGTACGTATCTTCGAAGAATGACCGACTGGCAGACAGAAAGAAAAAACAATTATTTGAGATACTTATGCTCACTATGAAACAGTAACAGGCTAGTTTGGTTTTAATCAGCACTAAAGTGCAACAACGCCTGTGGCTGGAAAAAAATCCCAAAAACCTACAATTGCCACTTCTCTGCTATCATAAGCTGATGCCCTGCTCCTAGGAATTACATCTTCCTACTGAGAGGCTGCTGCCCCTCTCCCTGTCATCCCCCTCCCCATTTAACTTGACATCAAAAGGACAGCCAGGCAACAGAGCTGAACTACATCTGAGAAAACAGTATGTATGCATGAAGCAGCCCTTCTGCATTCTGCTAAAATGTATTATTCAGTGAAAATTTATTTAACATAATACACAATGAAATTTAAAACTCGATTGTAGGACAGTCCTTTACCTGCATACCAACATCTTGAGTTTCCTTCCTCCATTTTTTCAACCCAAGATTCATTCCAGGAGTGGGCAAAGTCAATAAGCAGGACCAGCTGAATAAGAATAAAGCAGAATGCTCCAGCCATACCTACATAAAACCACACTAAAAGAGAAATAAAACCAGTTCAGAACCATAGATAATTTACCACCCTGTCTTAATGTCTCTAAACACAGAAAAGTGCTATAGTTACACAGCTACAATTAAAAAAAAAAAAAAACCCAGACATCAACATGCACTCAGTTTTGTTTTAAAACCAGTTATGATTGCACCATGATACAGTGGAAGACAATACTCCCTTACCAGTCGTAAATGGTCCCTCTGGTATGAAAAAGGCTCCAACACTAATTGCAAGTGCTGTTGCAAATTTAAAGAACCAGAATCTAGAGGGAAATAAAAAATAAAAAGTCAGGCAACTGCTGAAGTCTGATCTAATTCACAAAAAAATCAAAAGTACACAAAATGAACATCCTTAAGAGCTGGTTTTTAATTCACTCATTCTTAATTCATTTCTTTTGAAGTAGGGTAAAAATCTTATTTTATGTGCCCAAGATTTTTGTTCTCCAGAAAATTATGCTGAAACTGTGCCAAGACTGACAAAGAGTTTGACACATCTCACTGATGTATTTCAAATGAAGCCAGGCTGGAATATAATTGTGAAGGTTTGTTTTTTTTTTTAAAGAAAGTTTTTTAAATAGCATAGTGAGATTATTGAACTGCCTGCATATCGGAAAAATGGGTAAACCCAAAAACCTCTATCTGTTCTGAGTATCAAAACCAAAAAGGTAGAAGATCTGGTTGGTGCCTACAATGACAGAACACATGTGGAGCTCCTTTCCAGTCTCAATTCATTTCCTACAAGGGAGAGATGTACAAAAGCCTGGATTCTTCCTGAGTAATTTCAGACTCTTTAGGCCTACATCTGGTGAGGATTTACCACAACAACAAAAGCAAAGGATTTTATCCTTCACAGAAAGGACACAAATTCTAAGTCCCTCTTCCAGTGCAGTAGCACTGGATTCCCCCCACCCCCAGTAAAAGATATACACTCATGGACAAACAAAACAGATCGTATGTTCCCTAGAAAGGAGGCAAGGAAATACCTTCCACCAAAGATTCACCAAACTCCCCCCAAATACAGACTATGTAGAAATAGACTCTGCATAGGGAACTTCAAGTCAAAAAAATATGCCAACAAAACTATAAGAAGGTGAAGACTACTTTTTCTGATCACAGCGAGAGGCAGCTCCAAATACAGGCACGGTACCATCCTCATGTACTTCAAATGGAATATAGCACAAAAACATGAACCACACCCCTGTGACGTCAAACACTTGCATGGTTCTCAAGTTTTCTATCCCTTCCCATCTTTTCCCATACTTTGAACAAGTTTAATCTCTCCTTCTGGCTGTTACAGTCAGGCGATGGTGACCAGAGGAATAAATTCCATTTGTGTGGAGAGGAACTATGTGAGATGACACAAGTGCAGAATACGGGCAAAAATGGACTAATTCAGTGGGATATAAACTATCTATACCCAGTTTGAAAGCTGCATTAACTTACAACATTTACTGTGTAATACATACCCCAGTTAAACTAGCTTTTGAACACACAGGTAGATTTATTTTTTAAATCAATGTCATTCTCAATTATAGAAATAATAGGTTCAAATTTGTACAACTTTCATCTCTAATTCCAGACTTCTTAATGGGTCTTAACGCTCTACCTATATAATGTGCATGACAGCTAAAACCAATACTCATCCGAAATAACATCTACAGTTGCTACGCATTCTGTGCAAGGCAGCAACAATCCTGTGAATACATTATAACTGTTTTCTATTATGATTATTATCAACAACCTGAGGCAAGAAATTATTCTGACTGCTGTTACAAAAGCAAAACATTGGTACTGGACCACATTACTGGGCTTAATTTGCATGCAAGTATGAAAACTTAGTACACATACACAGCAAAACCTAATACTCTGAATGTTTCAAATCACTGACAGAAAGATTACATTGCCAGGTATTACTGAAGATACCTACAATTCAAAAATTAAAAGCCATGGTTTTCATAAAGCTACCTGTCTGAAGCAACTAGTTATTACAGAAATGCTGGAAAGTAACGTTATTAAATATTTTACCAGTAACAGTTAACAAGTATAATTTTTCCTTTTATCCTAGTGCTGACACTAGATTGGCTAAGAGGAGGAAACTGCTATGGGTTGCATAAATACCACCAAAATTTGTGCTGGAAAGCACAACTCTAGATAAGGTTATCAAGAAGATCCCAAACGCTTAAGAAGCGGTTTTAAGTAAAAAGATTCCACATCACGTAAAATATGTCTGTTATTGTTAAAACCACGAAGTGTTGATGTAGAATGTACATGAACCATTTCTTCTTGCTCATAACAAGTATGCTCTCCTGAACAGAGCAGGGTAGAGGGAAAGGCTGAACTGAGTTACTGCTGTTAATGCATCTTAATACTGCACCTGGCCTCTTTTTCTTTAGACTGAAACAAAGAAAGAAGTAAACAGAGTGATATGCTGCTCAGTCTTAATTATTTTCTTTTCCCTTACGGAAATTATCTGAGGGGTTTTTTTTTCTCATTTTATGCTAGAAATGTTTGATGTTATTATATTGAATATAAAATAAAATTACTTCTTCATTTTTATGGTTTAGCTGTTCATAGCTTCCACTAAATACAATCACTTTGAAAAAGTAGTAGACTAAGCAATCACTGTGACCACCAAGACTAGGCACCACAAATCATTTTAGGCTTTTTAGTGTCATGCCCTACTACAAAAATTTACATCTCCCTGTTTCAAGATGCTACATTACACATAGACTGAATCTGGATGAGAACAATCACTTGCTGAAATTCCACTATTATCTTCTATCTGATAATTCTAACTATAATGAAATACAAAAGAAAAATTTACTGGGAAGCTCAGAAACTAAATATGTAGCTCTTTATGAAGAGGGGAAACTGAAGAAAAGATAGCAGAGCGGAAAGAGATAGGTTATATATCTATATAGGCATATATATATAAAGGTTATAATCTTTAAAATAAAACTGTTCAGAAAAGAGCAATGTCTTACAAACATCAAAGTTAAGAGAAATATAATTCCTAAAGGACAGATCAGGCTTTTTAATCTATATGTTGAAAAAATCTCAGTGGAATGAAACTTAGTACCATTATTCGCCTCTGAATTTTGTCATCTTTGGACAAAACCAGAATCTCTAATCTTGGGAAGCCTCTGGACAGATTCTCCATTGTCACAGATCAGGCTCTCAAAAGTGACAGCCACGTGTATCTTTTTCTCTTATACAAATTAATCTGCCGTGTCTAAGAACTCTAATATCTTTGAGTGCCCTCTACTCCAACAACACTCCTCTAGCTACTATGAAATTCTTTGTGGAACAGTAAATTTGACCAGCATGCTCAGCCACAGGCTTTATTTTCACAGTAGCTGTATCTCACACGCACACACCACCCATCTCAGTTCTTGTTTCGGTATCCTACCCATTGTGCACCGCTGCTCTTGGGTCATTGCTGCTTTTCACTTTGATCATCAACAAGGAGAAGAGAAGGAAGAACATGGCCATACCAAAGCACACACGGTACACAGCTTTGTAACCAACTAGTACATCGCAATTCACGTGGCCATGCACACCAGGAATAGTTGTTCCCATCCCTCCATCACAAAATCCAGGAATCTGTAATAAATGCAAGATACTTTAGCGATTTGTAAAAGGCCTCCTGTGAGTAAATATGTATTAGCAATTTATGAATATAAAACTCATTAATTATGCAACTATTAACACTGCTAGAAAGGCTGTATTGTTAGTTACAAACTAACCAGAATATTAAACACATTCAAGGACAAAATCCTGCATAGACAAATTCTAAACAAACAAAAAAATCTTATTATCAGTGGCGTGGAGTTTTTTTGCTATTAGCAATTTCAGATCTTCTCAAACAAATGCAATTTTCACCTGTTGATCTGAATCAGGAAATAAATAAAAGATCTGGAATTTGGTAAATTTGACTTCACAGTTACTATCAAATTCATGTCATAGCTAGAAGGCAGCCTGCTTACATCTCTAACAGCCTCCCCAAAAAAGTAACATCACAATCAATTAGAAGTATCTGTAACTTCCATATGAAATGGCTGAGTATATCCTTTCCAGTTACTACCAGGACATGAGCAGCACCTTTTTGAAGTTAAATCATACTCCAAAAAGCCGTAATTTTCTTCACTGGGTGACTAACGTGGCTCTCGCTGAAGCTCTAATATGGTTACTATGCCACACTGAAATAAACATTTTCAGATGAATCATTTGGGGAAGGGGAGAAAAATCAAAAGCATGCCTAACAGAAGTTACTACCTAACAGAAGAAAATTCAAGTCAGTAAAACAAAGGGTAACAGAACCAAAGCACAGGCAACCCAAGTTCAGTGAACCCGTAAGCTCTCCTATAACTGAAATGATCACTCTATAATTTTACACAAAAATTTTATTAAAAGGTATACAATTTATAAAAATTTAATTTTATATAGTATCTTCATAGAACTAAAAAACCTTAAAATTATATAAGCATTTCCTAGTATCTTTAGTGAAAAATATGCTACTACCTTTAATAAAAAATATTTTTGTTACGCATTTGCAGACTTTAAAATAGAAGTACAGCACAATGAAACTGGAAGATATCTTGGATTGTGGTTATCTTTCATTGTTTTATTAACAGCAATCAAAATTAATCAAGTGCCACAAATACAGTCATCTTGATAATATTTAAAACTCCACATATATAAATTATATTTTCTTCATGTTTTAGATGAGATTTTATTTTTTCTGCTTTGAGCTATTAAAGAAGTACGACTTTCTTTCTAAATAGTCCTTTTCATCTATGTGGTGATTGTCGCATGAGTTCTTTGTTTATCTGATCTACAATCAAATTAATGGTGACTGTGAAGTACAGGTGGCAGCACAATTATGTATTTCCAAATAAAATCCAGGCATTCAAGATGTTGTTTACAATTATCTGTGACATTTGTTCTACCAAACATGTTAGCAAAGAAGTAATCTGACCTTCTTCAGCTGCTCTTCCATGCCTGGTATTAACATCACGCAGGCAACACTCACGCCAAGAAGTAAAAAGAATGCATAAATCAACCGAGTTATGGTGGAGTTGTTTCCACTGGGGCAGCATCGGCAGAGCAGGCACGGGGCACTTCCACATAAGCACGGTATCTAACAGACAGAACACAGAACAAATTCTTGAAAAAATTTTGCATTACTAGATTTCAATATTTAATCAGCCTGTGTAAATTACCAGAAGTTATGATGGAAAATTACTCATCCTACGCATCTCATCACTAGTGTAGACTAAGTCACTGTAACATGTTACACAGCCCCCCTAACAATCACGGCAGCGCTTCCTAATGCACCACTGTATAGTGAAATTAGTGCTATGTCAAAAGTAATCATTTCTCCATTCAGAGGAAATGAAGACTGATTCAGGCTTATTTGTTCTCTTGAATTTTATTTCACTTCAGCTAAATGAAATGCAAGGATTGCTTTTAGTTAACAACTACATCCTCCCTTCCACAGCTGCAGAGATTAAGCAGATACATCACAGAAGAAAAATGAAGTGCAACTGGGATCTAGGTACACTTGCAGTTTGTGGCAGAGTAGGGCCACAATCCTCACTGGGGCCATAAACATTACTGGAGCACAAACGACAACTAAAATAGCCTAAAGCTTAGGTTGCAAATTATTGCATATTTAGCAACTACTCGTGTATCACACAATTCTCTGTCAACTAGCAAAATTAACTTATGCAATGTAAAAAGTTACAAACCACAAGAACAAAGCAAACACACAGCACACATTATCATCACTGCCAAATATCAATGGCAGAAGTGGACAGGAATGCTGTACAGTTGTAATACTATGAGGGAAAAAATTAGGACCAAAGTTGCCTGTATTCAACTCTTAAATAGAAAACTGTGGGAAGAAGGAAAGGGAGCAGATAGTGCCATTTCACCGGGGGGAATTAAAAAAAAAAAAAAATTAAAAAAACCTTCATCCCATTGCAATTTTCTGCCACTTGCTGAGTGACAACTCAGGAAGGGAAAGAAGGGCAAGATTCCGTAAGTAAACATAAGCCAAAAGAGGAAAGGTACAATCAAAATGTTTGAGGTTTTTTTGGGGGTTTTTTTCCTATTTACAAATAGATTATTTTGTCTAGAAGACAATATCCCGGAGAGCAATTAACAGCTAAGTTTTGGAGGCCACATATTCTTCAGCTAAGGTAAAGTTACCTAGCAAGCGCTGCCCTATCCGAGCTACAATAGACCGTGCAACCTCCGACAAAGATACTGAAGGGTGCTAAAACCCAGCTTCTCCCCTAGTGCGCACACACGGGGACACTTCTGCCATGTGACAAAAGCCACAGGTGTTAATCACTGTGTCAAAAACACCCAGTGAAGTCACATAAGAACATGACTAGTTACATGGCCACATGACCACCGCATGTCAATCATCCAGTACGACTGGCATGTGTCAGAGAGAGTTATTAAAATTCAGTCATATGACAAACAAAAACACCAGAGTCTGCTGCTACCGGGAAGGCCCCAGGGTTTGCAGGGAAGAGCAGACAGACAGACTGCCACAATGCTCCTGGCAGCCTCCTGAGAAGCCCTCTGGGAAAGGCTCAGATTATTTGTTCTTACAGGTTCCACCAGACTCTCACACTGGACCCACAAACATGGTCTTTTAAATAGCGTTCTTGTATTCTTTTTGTATTTGTGTTCCTTTCCAAGGATGGAGGAGCCAAGAATTTTCACTCCACTATGCTGCAGAATCACTTTTAAATTAGCAAACTTCACTATTAAATTTTCCTTGCTAAAAAATAAAACAAGGTAGATTTTCATTATTACTATTCCAGTTACATATTGTCCTTTTTTACTTCCTCTACTAAATATAATTATGGCACAAAGCATATGAAGGTGTTGATTCTGGGAGAGGTTTCATCTCGATGTAAGAAAGATATTTTTTACAGTGAGAACAACCTCCCCAAGGATGTGGTTGAGTTCACATCACTGAAGGTTTTCAAGACGCGACTGGACAGGGTGCTAGATCACCTCACCTAGGCTCCCTCTCCCACAAAAGGCTGGGCCAGATGATCCTTCCAGGCTGTTCTATGACTGCAAGCAACTACGTTAGGGGCATCTATGCTTAGTAAGCAGGAAATGTATGGAGAATATTGGCTTAGGATGCATCAGGATTTTACAGTACTAATGTATTACACCATTTCCTACACACACACAAATAACCTTTCTGGTGAAGAATATTTCTATTCTCTGTTCAAAAAATTACTTTCTTGAACTAATTCTGTCTGCGTTAACATTTTTAAAGATACTGTTGAATAAAAGGTTGAATTTGGCCGAGTGGAATATAAGCCTGGGCTCATCTGCTGCAGAAAATTTGGTGCAAGGACCTTCTGGCATAAAAGTCAATTCTTTGGAGAATCTCAGTGTTAAATTGTTTGTTAAATATCTAAGTAATTCAAGATTATTCAATTCATAATTCAAGTTAAATATCTAAGTAATTCAAGTATTCAATTCATATCTTCCTCCTGAGTGCATCAAGGGGAACACAGACAAATGCATGTTTTTAGAGACAGGGGAGACTTGCAGTAGCTGAAATAGAGATGACTGTCTTCCCCTCACTGGAAAACAATGTGCCTCAAAGGAGGCCATGTTTAAGCATCCAAGCTCCAACACAAGCTTTTAAAACATTTTGCCACCAAACAGCTCATCCTTACCAGATATGATCATGCACACCTCTGAACATGAGACACCCATTGATAATTGATACTATTTATACAAGTTGGCCACTTCTACAAAGAACCACATTACGGTCCAAGTCCCTCTTTTAGCAAGAAAGAATAAGATATATACCATTCCAATAAAATAATATTATTGTACTACTGGCAAAACCACTTCTAATAGGTAACAGACTTCAAAAAGAAAAGACAGCAAAAAACATCTGGCCCATGGAATAGAGTTTATCAGCAGAGGAGGCAAGGACAGTTTGCGTCACTTGCTTGCTTCCTAAATTCAGAGCATGCCTCCTACAAAAAAAAAAAAATACTACAGTACAAACAGTAATACTACAGTACACTGACCAAAGCTTAATATTAAACTCCCCAGGCGAAGCCCAGCTTAGAGATGCACAGTTACTCTGCAATTAGTTTTGAGCTTGCTTTCTTAAGGAAGCTCAGACAGCAGTTACTAAGTCACGACTGCACTGCTGTCATCCAGCAACTTTTGCGCCTACCAACCAACTCACATCCTTACTTTTCTCAAAAAACATGTAAGCAGCTCAGTGGTGTTCACTGAGGCAAAATAAGAAAAGATGACCCACACACCTATTCTGGGAGCAGCCAGCTGGGCAGACAAGTTAATTCATGCCTGCTAAACCAGTCACTTCATTCTCCAAGGCAGTGGAAATTGCAGGAGGAACACGTAACAAGATGAATATTACAGAGAGAGAAGGAGAGAGAAAACGCCACAAAAAACACTGAAAGTGAAGTGTTGCTGTCCTTGATGCACACAGAACAAGTTTTTAATATCAAATATAATCTTCTTACTGGGTTAATGACTAAATGATTATATACTGAATTAAGTATTTGCAAAAACACTAAGCCCCCCTGCTGGGCCTAGTCAGGTTTTAGCTACATCACCCCTACTCATGTGCTTAAAGGAACTGATTCAATCAAGATCTTTGCCTTGAGAGAGAATATTAAAGTGTGCAAAACAGCAGCTGAGCTATTTCAGAGAACAATGCAACAGAGGCAAGACCCAGCAGAGTGAAAACAGCACTGCCTGACCAATCTAGGTCATCAGGATCAGAAGATTTTTGGTGAGATGACAGTGCTCTTATCTCTGACAAATTTATCTTTGCTCTTAAAACCAGTAAACTGAAACACCACCTGATCCGCACACAGTAGGGCAGAGCTACAACCACCAGTAACACCACACAAAAAAATCCAGAAGAAATACAGGTATGAGGCCAGATGCCGAGGCCAGTTACCCAGAGCAGCTCTGCATGGCACAACACGCAGCTTTGCGGAGAAGCTCCACAGCCGAAGCCACGCCAGCAGCAGCATCTTCCCAGACAAGAGGAGTAGTTATCCCAGCCATGGCACAGCCCGCACTACCACAAAATCTGCTACATCTGGTTCTCCTGCTACCTCACCCTTACAGTTTGTTTCTCTTTCAGAGCCACAAATGGTGTTTATACTAACATCAATCCTTAGACACCAGCACTGACAGATTTCTCCCGAAGAACTATCATATAGGCTTTAAGTGCTGATTAGCTGTGGTTTTAAATGTGGAATCAAAATCAACACTTTAAAGCCATCAGGGAAGAAAAAAAGAGGGGGGAAAAAACCCTAGCCAAAAACCCCTGATTTGATTGGGCACTTTAAAGGAAGGGATGAAGGTTAGTTACCCACAGTAAATCTGACTTAATCAAGATTACATGCTCATGTAAATCATTTTATCTAAAAGACCATGAGCTAAGTTTCTCTGCACAGGAATAAACACTCAAAACCAAGAACAAGTATACAGGGATACCTCATGCACTACAAACACCAGCCAGTTATCAGAAAGGCTGTTTATGCACTTAAAAATGCATTATATATTAACTCAAGTATTTGAATTACAACTTACACTGTCACTTAGTATTTGACAATAATTAAAAATGTTAACGTAAACTATATTCAGCTAGTAATTACAGCCTAACTACCTAACCATTAAGTAGTGTTTAAAGTGTTAATTAAAGCAAAACAAACACTGACAGTATTTCTTTAACAGGATATTATCAATGGTCTAGGTGCTTATTCACACACATATCAGCCTGGAAGCTTAGTTCATACAGATTTACCAATTCTATGATCATTTCATAGAATTTGTATAGGAGATTAAGGAGTTAACTATTATCTTTCTAATAAAATATCACTCTCTACTAGGGGAACTGAAGGTCATATATTTTGCTGGCACAAAAAATAGGAGATTGAATCAATATGATGTTTTGTTAGACCACTAAGCTGTGTGTGTGAACTGTTTAAATATACATAATTACATTTAATCCAAGTATGATACAATATTTTTGGTATGGAAAATTCAGGTTTTCACAATCCCACTGACATTTTTAACCCAAATGTCTAAAGAATC